CATTTGAAAAAGAAGACAAGTCCTGTCAAACTTGAGACTCAAAGTGAGGGCAATTTGTAGACACTAAAATTTTAGTGGGTTTTGGTTTTGACAAATGGACCCATTAAATATGGACCTAATGTTTAATTAAGTTAGTTAATTGGGCCAAACTTGGTCCACTTAAATTATTTAATTAGCCCAGCCTAGATGGTTAAATAAACAGATAATTATTCCTAATAAAATATATTTGGAATAATTATTTTTAAGGATAATTATCATAATATAACCGGTCTGGCTCAGTTATTATTTTATTCTTATCAGGAGATGATACGTGTCATTATCCTATTAATCCAAGAAGTCTATAAATAGAGGCATGAAGGAAGAAGGAATGGATAAATTCAGAGTCCATAAATACAGAGACTTAGAAATCCAGAAGTCCAGAAAATCAGACACAAATTCAAAATTCAAAGTCCAGAAATTCAGACTCAAAAATCCAAAAATTCAAAGTCCAATTTCAGTGAAAAATACAGAAACTCTCATCCCCAACATCCAAACCCAAAAGCGAAGAACACCAAGTATATTAAATTGTGTCGTACCGTTCTTTATCAAATTCCACGGTGATCAACAACAAGCACAGACAAAGACGTGCCGTTCTTCATCCAAATTCCACAGTGATTCAAGATCAAACTTATGCAGCTCTTAGATCCAACTAACAAAAAAAGAGATCGAATCAAAGAACCTTATTTTATTCTTTGAATATTATTACAGAGGATTGTACCCCATCTATCCAAATTAATAAAATATTATATTATTTGCTCTATATTTTGTTTCTATTGCAGTCTGAAATAAAGTTATAAACCCCCCAACAAAGTCATATATGTATACTTAATGAAAGTTAGTGTAGCGGCGGTGTTTGCCATTTGACTGAAAAGATTAAATTGTTAGGCAGAGAGATCTAAAAATTATCCATTATAGAAAATGTCGATAACTTAATTATATTAGTCATTAACATTAATTCAGATATCTAAAAATTATCCAAGGTCACTAAAAAACATTGATTGTAAAAGGACAAAAGAACACTTAAAAAAAAAAAACCGAAGGGAGAGATCTCTAAAAACTATCCATTATAGAAAATATGGATAACTCAATTACATTAGTTACATTAATTCAGATATCTAAAAATTATCCAAGGTCACTTTGATCATTAAAGAAGGGTATTATAGAAATTTCAAATCCAATAATGTCAAATTTCCGTCACTAATTACAGCCATCATCAAATAGTAAGGGGCTATCTAGATATTTTTGGAATAATATATATATGAGAATTTAGAACAAAAATTTTGAAATTTTAGGAGAATTTTATGCCGATAATTGAGGTATATTTTTTTAGGATTTGTCCTAAAATTTGTTGAACAATAAAAACACTTTATATAATATTGTATTAAACAATAGAACAAATTTATTATGCGAATAAGTGCCGTGACAAAGATTTTTTTTCCCCACTACGAATAATTCAGAAGGCATTAAATGAGGGTGTGAGACGCTCATTTGCTTATAAGTCCACTCAATAAAGGACGCTCATATATGATTTGATAAGTCATTCTCACCACAAGGTAATATGGATAAGTCCTTATCACACTTCTATTATTCCTTTTAATCAAGCTTCGCACGTCCTTATCAAATCAGGGCCCGAACAAACGGGGCCTGATTTAGGGAAGAAAAAGAATAGTAATAGAAATGTGATAAGGACGTGCAAGGCCTGATTAAAGGGAATAATAGAAGTGTGTATATATTTCAATAAGTATTTTTTTTTTTTTTTGGGTAAAATACATATTTATGTAATATTGAAACAAAAAATTGTTTCCAACACCAGAATATAGTGAGATATATCATGGTTTTTTATTTGAAGTATTTGGATTTAATTTTTGCATTTATAAAATTTTAACAAGGTACGTACCTTTGTGACACTGGTCATTGTTTCTTATGTTTCAAGTGTCTCATGATAAACGTAATTGATAAGAGTTCAGAATTTGATTAATCTCGCAAATTTATCTCAAATTTAGATTTCAAAATTCCAAATGTGATATAATAAAAGACAATACTTTTATTTAATTACACATATAAATACACACACATATATATGTGTATTTATATGTGTAATTAAATTATCTTAAAAGTTTAATTAGTGCTGGATTTTAGTAGGGTTGAACGTGAAAATGTCAATGCTTGGATTTGTGCTCTAATTAATATTAATAGCTAAGCAATACAGTGTGATAGGGATGATAGAGAGTCCTTAGCCAAGAAAAGGTCAAAAGCAACCAGAGTCAAAGTGGTTTAACAATTTTGTTACACTGAGAGAGAGAAAAAAATGGAGCTTTATAAGGAGTTTGTTACACTAACTTGTTAATTAACACTCTTCCTATCTATATATATATATATACACACATTCACAGTCTTTGTTACATTAGCACATACACTTATTTGCATGGTCCTCTCTCTCTCTCTCTAGTTCTACAGTGTTATGTTTCACTTGCCATGAGAAAACAAATTATGAATATTGAAGCATTCGCTAAACCCTAGAGTATAACAGTTCATAGTGGAGTTGTTACCCTAAACATCACAATCTTCTTCTTCACCATAAATGACAATAGGCTTTTCTTGTTTTCCCGCTAGTCGACTGATCATTTTCGGGCCCACGTCCCCTCTTGTTCTTCCGGATACACGTTCCTCGCCATCACCGGAGTCGGGCACTAATCCGGAGCCGGTGCTTTTCTCGGTCACCAAGTTCTGCAAAAGGTAAACCCTAGAAGATACGTTTATTAATGCAATCTATATATATATATATATATATATATATATATATATATATATATATATTTTGAAAGGTATGTTATGCATGCAATATTTTTTCTGAAATATATACATGAAGATCTATGCTATGCAACATTTTGTTTTTAGCAATTTAGTTTCTGATGCATATACATGTTTATAATTTAATTAATTAATTAACTTGTGAATTGTTCTTTGTTTAAAGAGCATATATTTTGTGTCACTAGACTAGAGTGCCTTGGGACCTTTTTTTGTTTAGTTCTCTAAATAATATTCTTTTCTTAGAAAATATCAAAACAAGAAATTGTTTCAAAATTCATTTAGTTGATTTCATTTCAAATAATTCTTTTCAACTCTTTAAAAGGTACTTTGTAATTTCAGAATTACTGAAAATTGTTTTAAGGAAATGAATCAAATAGACAGTTAATTTTTTTTTTTGAACATCGAATTAACTGTGAACTCAAAAAAATGCATGTGACAATGATAATTTCAATTGGATTGTTTGTAGCATGCACTGCACTGTTCAAACATTTTTATCTTTTTTATCTATTAGCTAGATTTAGCAATTTAGTTTGTGATGCATATACAACTTCATAATTAATGTATTGAAGTTAAGATGGATGTGCTCATGAATTACGTTGTGAATTGTTTTTTTGTTTAAAGATCATATATTTTTCAAAAGGTTTTCAGTGTTTAATTTGTTCAGTTCTCAACACATAAAATTACTTCAAAATTTATTTAGTTTATTGATTATATTTCAAATAATTCTCTTCAACTCTTTAAAAAATATTTTAAGGCATTAATGAACCAAATAGACTGTCATTTTGTATACTTTAAATTAACTGTGAACTAAAAAAAAAATGCATGTGACACTGATGTATGTTTTCATTTGGATTATTAATTTGTAGCATTCACGATTCAAAGATAAACAAAATTGTTTTGTTTTAAATTTATAATCTAAACTGGAGACAAAAAAAAAAAAAAAAAAAAAAACTCTTAATATACTTAAAATCTCATACAATATAGCAACTCTCAAGCGCTGAAAATATCTTTTAAACTTCAACTCATATACCTAACACATGAAAGAAAAATCAACTCCCAACTATACCGATACAAAGTTTAACTGTCTATTAATTTGTCTTTAAACCAGACTTGCATCATAACTTGTCGTGTGAGGGTATAACTTCTAATCAAATTAGAAATCATAGATGGGATGTTTAGTTCCTATATTTAGTGTTTCAACAAACACCTTTTATTTGTTAGTCCTATAAATGTCATATGCTCTTAAAAGTATGTGACACATGAGAACTCTGATTCAAGTTGTTACAACAAACTACTTTTTCTTTTGATAAATATATATATATATATATATATATATATAACTTGATTTGCAGTAACATGTAGCAGAAGCCTAAAAATATGTCATTACAGAGTCTTATGGTATAAAATCACCTAAATATTAATGCAAAAATACTATACTATGAAAATTAAAGTCCGATAATTAAGAAGAATTGCAGTGTTTACAATCCTTACTAACATGTAGCAGAAGCCTAAAAATATGTCATTACAGAGTCTTATAGTATAAAATCACCTAAATATTAATGCAAAAATACTATACTATGAAAATTAAAGTCCGATAATTAAGAAGAATTGCAGTGTTCACAATCCTTACTAGTTGTACCATAGATTGATTGAGATAAAAGGATTCTTTTCGACTTGTTTTAGAACAAATGGAGCAAAATATATTGCACCACCTTACTAATATATGTTTTTAGGAAAATCATTGAGTCTGTTGTTTGTTTGTACCTAAAAATGTCATTGTCTTGTATGTTTATATCAATCTGTTCCTTATGGTTAGTGACGTAATTATATTCACTAGTCGTGAACGAAAAAGCCCTGAAAAAAGAATTTGTGAAGAATGGGATGATATATCCTTTTCACGAGGTATAAATCCCACTTACAGAGACATTCCATGCGATTCATGACAGAATTTGTGGCGTAGACTCTTCTAAGAAATCCTAATCTTACTTTCCTCCACATATATTTTCATAATTTGTCATACAAGTTGTTGTTTCTACAGTAAAAAGAATACAGAAAATGACCGGCCACTGGCCTACTTTCTCTATCCATGTCTCTCCATTTGTTGTCCTATAAATTCATCTACTCCATACCATTCTTCTCCATCTTCTCCTTATTTGCCAACTTTCTTTCACCACTACTTTGCCGCTTTCTTTTGCCTCAATAGTCTATAGAATCTCTTCTGGGCATTACTTCATTTTGTTCTGAGAATTGGATTACAAGTATATATATCTCACCTTTTTTTTTTCTTTTTATATCTCATCCCATATCCTCACTTGTTTATTTGTGTTTGTGAGTATTCTTGTCCTTTTTTTTTATTAAATTTAATTATTGCTTGGCTTTTTCCCTTCCTTTTTTTTCTTTTCGGATTTTCCACTAATCATAATCATGGCATCAATTATTAAATCTAGTTTCCCTTTAGCTTAATATAGTTTTTACACCGGTAGATAAAAAGGTTTAAATCATTAAATTTGCTTGATTAACATATATAGTATAATCTTTCTCTTTTTTTCTTTTTCTTTTTTTTTTAATTATATATTTTGTGAAATTTATTATGCTCACTTGCTTATTATTATTTGATGGCTAATTTGCAGAGAAATCATCGAATGTCTGCAATGGACTCCCTTGATGTCACCAAAGAGCCAGTGGTAAATTAATGTTGCCAAAACTATTAATTATTTATTTCAACAAAAAAAAAAAAAAGAAAAAAGAAAAAAGTCATGGATCAATAGGGCCAAAATTTTGAAATGGTTGTTAGAGTTGGTGTTTGGCTGATTCCACAAATATTTCGCAGCGAAAAAGACTGATCACTTTGCTCTCTATTGACTTGTACCATTGTGTCTTTGTAGGAGTGTGTGTGTGTGTGTGTGTCTTTTTTTGTCCACTAATTGTAATTCTTTCTTTTTTTAAAAAAAAAAAATTTCGAACAGGCTAGAGAAGAAAATAGTAGCCTCATAGAATCAAAAGCTGTTGATACAAAGAATAATAAGAATGAAAAGAAGCCAACCAATTGTCTTCTAGGAGGCTGCATTAAGAGGAAAAACACAGGAGGCTGGACTTCAGCAATTCTCTTGCTAGGTACTTATCAAATCACTCATATTAATCCTTTAGAGTTAAACACACACACACACACTCTACACATACATGTAATTCTAACATTCTTCTTCTGTATTATGTGGTGCAGTTAATCAAGCCCTTGCAACCCTTGCTTTCTTTGGTGTTGGGGTGAACTTGGTCTTGTTCTTGAACCGAGTTATTGGTCAAGACAATGCCGAGTCTGCCAATAACGTCAGCAAGTGGACTGGAACTGTTTATTTGTGTTCGTTAATAGGAGCGTTCCTCAGTGATTCTTACTGGGGCCGTTACTTGACCTGTGCGGTGTTTCAAGTGGTTTTTGTGCTGGTAAACACGAGTAGCATACATAATTTGCAGGCATTTTATTTAGTTATTTTCATGTGATCAACCTAGAATTGATGAGCAATTTTGTGTGCTTCTGATCAGGGTTTGACGCTGTTATCACTCGTCTCCTGGCTTTTCTTGATCAAACCTGAGGGTTGTGGTGATGGTGAACAACTGTGCTGGCCCTCTTCTTCAATTGGAATAGCCATATTTTACTTGGCTATGTACTTAGTGGCCTTTGGGTATGGGGGGCACCAACCCACCGTAGCCACCTTTGGAGCAGACCAATTCGGTGAGGCCAGCCTTAATGACAAGAGTTCCAGAGAGGCTTTCTTCTGCTATTTCTATTTTGCACTCAACGTTGGGTCCCTATTCTCAAATACCATTTTGGTCTATTACGAGGACAATGGTAAATGGACACTGGGATTTTGGGTGTCTACAGGGTCTGCTATTTTAGCCCTATTGTTATTTTTGATGGGATCACGTGGTTATGGATATGTTCAACCTTGTGGCAATCCTTTACCTCGCGTTGCTCAAGTGTTCGTTGCTGCATCTCGGAAATGGAATGTGACTCTGGCCCAGGGGAATGACTTGTATGAGGTGGATGGCTCAGAGTCTGCAATCAAAGGGAGTAGGAAGATTCATCACAGCAATGAGTTTGAGTGAGTATTCAAATTCTCTATTAATTACTACATTAAATATTTCAATGACATAATCTTATTAATTAAGTTAAATTGAAAAGTTTATTGATTACAATTTTTATGTTCCTTGGATATGTTTAGGTGTTTAGACAAGGCTGCAATAATGACAGAGGAAGACAAACTTGGCCCCCAAAACCCATGGAGGGTTTGCACTGTGACTCAAGTTGAAGAAGCCAAATGTATTATAAGAATGCTGCCCATTTGGCTCTGCACCATCATATACTCGGTTGTTTTCACTCAAATGGCTTCACTCTTTGTTGAGCAAGGTGCAGTTATGGACTGCAACATAGGGAAGTTCCACCTTCCAGCCGCGAGCATGTCTGCGTTTGACATCTGCAGTGTTCTTCTTTGCACTGGCATATACCGGCAAATCCTGGTTCCACTAGCAAACAAGTTAAGTGGAAACCCTAAAGGCTTAACTGAGCTCCAAAGAATGGGTGTCGGTCTTATCATAGGAATGCTAGCCATGGTTGCAGCCGGTCTCACTGAGATTGAAAGGCTCAAAAAGGTCACCCCCAATATGCACTACAGCTCTTTAAGCGTGTTTTGGCAAATCCCACAATATGTTCTTGTTGGGGCTTCCGAGGTTTTCATGTACGTTGGTCAACTGGAGTTCTTCAATGGGCAAGCCCCGGATGGGATAAAGAGCTTTGGAAGCTCACTATGTATGGCATCAATTTCTCTTGGCAATTATGTCAGTAGCATGCTTGTTAACATGGTGATGAGGATCACAGCGAAAGGAAACAGCCCAGGTTGGATCCCAGAGAACCTAAATAATGGTCACATGGACAGGTTTTACTTCCTGATCGCGGCACTAACAGCAGCTGATCTTGTGGTTTATGTGTTCTGTGCTAAGTGGTACAAGTGCATCAACGTGGAGCAAAGCGAAAAACAGTATCAGAAGGAAGGGCAAGAAGAAGAAGTTGTTATCAGTAGAGTCTAACAACACTGTATGTGCCTTTGACATTCAACAAAATTATGCAGTTTTAGGATTTCATTTGGAGAGTGAACTCAAATCTCATTGCAACATGAATTTTCTGTGTTTGTTGAAAGGCATACAATTTCCTTCAACTCCTAAAATTTCTAGGATAATGATTCATTTTCTGTGATGTCAAGAATTCCTTGATATCTATGGTTGGTAGAATTTGATCTGGTTAGCAGATTCAAAAAGATTTAATTGTTTTTCTTTTCTTCTTTTTTTTTATATGGCTTTTGTTTAGACTGTTATGGAATAAATAACATTCATGTGACTTTTTAGCTTTCGTTCTCAACTTCTAGGTTCGATTCTATTTGATTTTTTACTTCTACTTTACCTTTTTTCCACTATTGTTGTGTTTCATGCATGATTGGAGTAATATATGTGCTAAAGTCTTGGCAGGTCAGGAGACTGCGATTTTTTACTTCTACTTTATTCAACTCTGAGTATTGGAGTAGCAAATAAAAAAAATGATTCAGTATTGTTACATTACTCATATATTATAATACTGAGTGACATTATATATATATATATATATATATATATATATATATATAGTTATTCACTAATTGTATATTCAATAATTGTGTTTTGAGGTTTCTAGTCAGAAAACCCCATCACCGCAGATCCACGGGATAAGATCAAGAATGACACAAATATTTAGTTACATTTGGCTAACTATATGTAAGCACGGATATGGGATACGGATACAATTAATGATACATATATTTATTTACATTTGGGTTAAACTATACGTAGTACGGACATGGGATATGGACACGATACGAATACGTCATATAAATTTTTATTTGTATGCATCTATTCAGTAATAGTATTATAAAACTTTAATTCATTTATAATTTCTATAAAGAGTTGTTCTAAAATGAATTAGAAAATGAAATTATGTCATTATTGAAATAATTTTTATATGATATATACTAGTATTTCACTATTTTGTCATGATAGTATTCATATTATTTTGCAAGATTAGTGAATAGACTTATGTTAGAAATGTCCGAGAAGTGTGATGAAGTGTCCGAAAAGTGTCAGCAAAGTGTTTTAGAAGTGTCGGCAAAGTATCGGAAATAATAAAATTAATTTTTATTTATGGACATATATATGAAGTGTCTGACACGTATTCGAGGAGTATCCGAGGAGTGTTGGTGTCTGACACGGGTACGGCTCCTTCATAGAAATGTCTATACTTCTTAGGTTAAAATAGAGTTATATATTGAAAGCTGGTTGTTGCATTTGAAGACCTATATATTAGGATGTAGATGGGAGGCCCTCCTAAGTTTTTTTTTTTTAACCTCTATGATAAACAAAATCATTAATATTTAGGTTTAGTTTGAAGACTGATGTATTGCATAATGTGTTGGGAATAATTAACTCCCTCCAACCCACTCAACGGTGCTTCCTACATCACACACAACAGAAGCATCATCACATCATATCAGCACAAGCATATATGGAGATAACAATCACACACATTTATGCACAACACAATCTTTAACATGGTTCACCCAACTCTAGGGTTACGTACATGGGAGAGAGAGATTTCACTATTATGAATCAAGGAAGAGACTACAACCACATGTTAAAACCACACTCACTCACTCATCATATCTTTTGAAGCTACATGTATACCTCAGGAATTACATATACTCTCACCTCTCCTCACAACATTCACCCTTAAACCCTTTACATTTTTTCTCTCTAAACCTCTCTCTCACATATCTTTATTTATAGAGTCTTCAAACTCAATTCCTTATTGAACAAGTATTCCTCAACTTACGTATAAAAAATTACCATAATGATCACAATTCTAAAATAGAAACATAATGGGATACAATTTCCTCCACAAATTTGAACCTTCCAAAACGAAAAAGGAAACTAATTTTCTGCACATGAATTTTGAGCCACAAACCCAACAATCTTCACCTTGGCTCAAATTTTGTCTTCAAGGGTTCCTTCATAACTCCACCTCGATTAAAGATCTCTTCACCTCGAATAAAGATTGATCCACCTCAAACCAAACTTTATCAATCATCCCCATTGGTGTTTAATTACTCACGCATGACAATCCATTAATATTCAAACTCATCCGTATCAATTACTTTTCTAGCTCAAGGCAACAAACTTCTTCTCTTCACTCTTCATATTCCCCTTTGGTCTTTATCGGGCTTAGAGCAAACCCTTTCATTCTTCATACCTTTGCCCCATCTTGAGAACTACCACTTTCCATGGCTTGTCCCCAAAACTTATTCCTCGTGTGCTTCACCTTTATCACCTTTGCCCTATCTTGAAAACGAGAAAGCTCCAGCTTGTTCCAAGCCTTGTTCCTCATGGGCTTGTGTCTTCACACCATCTATCTTATTTCATGTCATCATCAACTCTAATTGAATCTCCATAGCACCTCACGATTATCCTCTACTCTGACAAACTTCACACCAATTTTATGTTCTGATCTTCAGGACCAATCATAGGCTTTGACCCATAACCTGTCCTGGTACCATTTGTTAGGAAAAATTAACTCCCTCCAACCCACTCAATGGTCAGCTGTTGTTGAGAGTTAAATCCCTCCTACATCACACACAATAAAAGCATCATCACATTACATCAACACAAGCATATATGGAGATAACAATCACACACATCCACGCACAATATAATATTTTACATGGTTCGCCCAACTCTAAGATTACGTCCATGGGAGAGAGAAATTTCATTATTATGAATCAAGGAAGAGAATATATAAGTCAAAACCCCACTCACTTACTCATCATCTCTTTTGAAGCTACATGTATACACTCGGGAATTATATATATTTTCCCATCTCCTCATAACATTCACCCTTAAACCCATGACATCTTTTCTCTCTTCTCTCTCTCTCTCACCCATCTTTATTTATAGAGTCTTCAAACCCATTTCCTTGTTAGATAAGTATTCCTCAACTTGCATACAAGGAGTTATCCTAATGATCACAACTCTAAAATAGAAACATAATGGGATTCAATTTCCTCCACAAATTTGAGCCTTCCAAAACAAAAAAGGAAATTAATTTTCTGTACACAAATTTTGAGCCACAAACCCAACAGAAAGTGATTATGAAATTATATCAGGAGGGGAGTCTAGTGGCATTTTCCTAGATTCAAATCTTCACGGTAGAAAACAGGTTAAGAGTTCTTTGCAAGGTATAAATAAATAAATTATCATAATAAAAAAAAAAAAAAAAAATAGAGGGGTGAACAGTTTTAGTTTCCTTGTTTTAAATTAATTCCTTTATAGTTAATTAATTAGTACATCAAACAAGTTTACACACAAATTGAAAAAAAAAATAGAGATAATATATTTAATATAGAGATAAATAACAAGTTATTTTTGGTATATTATGAAATGTTCTTCAATTTTTTATTTTTTGGGTTTTTGGGCCGAGAGGTCCCGGATGGGTCCTGCACCCGAATTTTTTGTACTCGGGGTTACTTTTTGGGGTCATTGCATTTCATATATATATATATATATATATATTTGGAGCATAATTATGTGGTTGTGTGTTTTATTCCATATTTGTAGCATATGTATATATATGTATACAAGGAAAGGGCAAAATAGTACTTTTAGGAGTCAATGAGGGACCCACCATTGACCAAGGCTTGTGATATAGGAATTAGGAGTGCCTTTTTCTGCATTTTTTCTTCTTTTCAGCCAGGCATCTCATTCTCTCTCTAGAATTCACTTTTTCTTCCTAAATCTCATTTCAAGCTTTAATTTCATCCTCTTACTCTATTGAAATGCCATTGAAAGACTATAGCGAATATTTTATTTTATGCTTTGGATAGGATATAGATTTATATATTTGAATATACGCCACGATATGAGCTTGAGATCCCAGGATCAGTGGTTAGGGAGCGTATATTGCCTTGGGGATGCATAGCTGGATATAGAGGATTGTGTGTTCTGCCCTATAGTCCAGTGAGAGTCCTTTAGTGTGTGTGTGTGTGTGTATATATATACCGACTACATAGCTATTACATGAGTTGACTAGGATGTATTCTGTTAACCCTAAGACCAATTTTGATGATCACAAAACATTAATCGTGTTTTAAGGACTAACATTTGCCTTGAGAACATTTAACAGGTTAGTCATTAGAAGTCTAAAAGTGAAGTGGAAAACAAGGAAAGGTAAAGCCAAGATAAATACATTCTTTGCACTCCAAAGACAAAAGAAAAACAAGTCATTCACTTCCAAACTTCAAAGGAAAAACACGGAGAAGAAAAGCAATCAAGAATGGCAAATTCAAATGGGGTAAATAGGTTGGGTGAGTGCCATAGATTCAAATGTTAAAATAATGTATAAATTTCATGAAGCTCACACATTCTAGGATCATGAGTTAAATGGCAAAATCTATTTGAAATCCTAGAAACAGAGAAGGAAAATGGAGGATCACATTCAAGGAGTTTTGGCCGACTGAACATGAAGGTTTAGCCGACTGATAAGGGTTTTATATGCATCAGCCGACTGAAGACTACTCTTCAGCCGACCGACAAGGAGCTTTCATGAAGTCCTGAGAGCAGTAAGTTTTTACAATCGTTTAGGTCGATTGACGATCGGGAATCAACCGGCTGACGAAAGGATTTCAGCCAACCGATGATGCTCTACCAGCCAACCGATGCATAGTCAATTTCAAATCAAACGGCTACCTACGAACTTGGATTATTGACTATATAGGAGCTGCAGCTTGTGTTATTAAATACACCTAGTTGGAGAGAAATTTGAAAAGCATTCAAGAACTTCATTCTTGAGCATTCAAGACAATCATTTGATCACTCATTCCATATCTCTTATTTTCTCATATCATACTAGAGATTAGAGCTTCATTTCATTCATATACTTACTCTAGTTGTGAGCCTACAATTGTAAATCTATCTTGAGAGAGAGATCCAATCTTGTATTTCATTTACATTCTTCACTACAAACTTGTAAAGGTTAGTGTGACCCAAAAGAAGCTTAGGAGAAGGGTGTTCTCCTAGCAAGAAAGAGAAGCAAGGGCTTACTTCATGTGAAGGTTTACTCTCCACCATAAAGGAGAAACTCTAGTAGATTGGGAAGTCTCAAGAAGGATCTTGAGCCGAGGAGTAGAAGTTTCCGAACATCGCTAAAATCTCCGTGTCATTGTTTGCAATTTCTTATCCCTATCTCTCTTACATTTATGCTTTGAATTATTATCTACTTTAATTGATTATTGCATAATTGTTTATCTCTAGTTAAAATTGCAAATTATTATT